CTTTCTTCTTCGCCTCTCTCTATGCTTCTTTTGTGTTTTTCTTTATTTTGGTTTGAAGATATTTTTGCTCTAGGTTGTTGTCTTTTTTTATCACTAGCTAAAAATTTAATAAGATTTTTACATTTTTCAATAAGTTCATTTATTTCTTCTAATCCTTTATTAATACTTAATTGCAAAGTATGTGTAGCACAAAAAACTTGAGTTCCAATTCCAAGATCTCTAATTGCTTTTTTTATATTAGATGTATTATCTGTTGTAAAAGAAATAACTTTTAATTCTAAATTTCAGATACTAAGTAAAGATTTAATATGCTCTAATATTTGAGAAGCTTTATGTGGATATGGTAATTCTGCAATACTTAAAAGAATATCTATAGATTCAAAATTATGAGAAAGCCAATGACAAGTAACACCTAAATAAGGAATATATGCTTTTGAACTCCAAAGATCTAAAGTAAGTGAAACATGCTTACTATTATTAATTAATTCTTTAATTTGATCTGAACTATAATGATAAACAAAATCTATTTCATCTTTTAAAAATTTTTTTGAAGGAATTTTATATCTAAAATCTAATTGATTACAAAACTCAATAAAATCTAGAGCCTCAACTAATTGTAAAGGTTGAATAGTTCCAACAATAAATCTAATTAAATATTGATTAAGTTCTTTTTGTTTTTTTTTACTCAAAGAAGCTATTGATATATCTTTTAAAATTTTTGGTAAAAGCTGTTGAGAAAAATTTTGATTTTTTTGAACTACAGCTTTTGTAATATGATGAAGGCTTAAAAGATGTATTTTGATAGCAGTAGTACTTTGATAATAAGCAAGTTCTTGTTCACAACCTGCTAATTGGCAAGTAGTAATATTAGAAGAAGTTTCTTTAAAATAATTTCAAACATAACTAGTTTTTTGTTTAGTTTTTATTGCTTTTTTTCTTCTTTTTTTTGTAGAATTAGATGAAACTGTTTCTTCATAATTTAAAATAGAATTATTAAATAAAGATTGTAATTCTATATTAAATTCATTAACTTTTTTTTCTTCAAGCATATTTTCAAGCTCATTTTCAGTACTAATATAATCACTATTAGAAGGATATTCTTCATCTTAATAAATATTAGATATAGAATTATTACTATTTGTAAATGGTAAAGTTGTTTGTCGGATTTTAGAGCAAGTACTAATATTATCTATCATGAAAATTTAAGTAATAGCAATTAAATTTTATAAAACTTTATAATTAAAATTTATAGCACTTTTCAAATTACTATAATCAGCAAATTCTATATATTACACTAGAATTAATTAACTAAAATTATTACTAACTAATTATAGATTATATTTTTGAATTTTAGTATAATACGTAGTTATAGTAATTAACAACTATAATAATTTGTAAATTATAAGTCTCTTATAATTATTTAAGATCACAGACTGCCATGCAAGAGGTCTGGAGTTCAAATTCTACTGTCGACGAATTTGAATAATTACCTGGACTTTTGTACCCAACTTACGGTAAACTTTGCCTGTTTTTGGGGTTACAACCCTGTAAATCACATTGCACCAATGTCAATTGGACATTGGAAGTATGACGCAATGCTCGAGTTACAT